TATAAGGATATTCTTAAGGCATTATAATGAATGCATAATGCATTATAAAATACATTATGATATGTTATATCATCTTATAAATAATCATAACAACAATTATAATACATTATAATGCTTACGCATTTGTGGTTATAAGTTTTAAGATTATGATTATTTATAACACAATGAACACCATATACAATCTATTTTTACATTTATAATGGACTATATATCTTGACATTGTTTATTTAAGATCTGCACAGTATCTTACTACATCTTGTAAGTGGTTAGGTGAGGAGTGTTATTTGAGTGTTCCCTCTGAGGCTAATATTAATTTGATGTGAGCTAGTTAATAAATTCAACTGAAAAAAAAATGCAATGTTTATATGTTAGGTTACATTTTATTGTGATGGTCCCCCTAGTCTATCGACTATAAGCAACTTTACAACTACATGTCAACTAACTCTCAGAGTATTAGTAGGCTTAGGTTAAGGTTAAGGTTAAGGTTAGGGTTGGTAGAATGTTGACGTACTTGCAAAGTTACTTATAGTCAGTTTGTCTGTTGGGGAACCGTCAAAATAATCAAACTGATATTATATAAAAAATAGTTCAAAGCAAATATGCCTTATTACACATTCATCTGATCTTATGGCTGTTTGAGAAAAAAAAAAAATATTATTGTTATTATTATTACTATACTTATAAGTGGTCTTTGATGGCTTTAAGTAAAGTAGCATAAGAAAGATGGCAAGATACGAGACTTATAGTACATTATAATTATGAGAAATATAATCCATTGCAACTTAAGTGGATGCAACGTGTTCACTGTGTGTTATAAATCATCATACTCTTAAAAGCTATAACCACAAATAAGTAAATATTATAATACATTAAAACAGTTCTTATGAATATTCATAAGATTATATAACATATTATGTATTAAGTGTTTTTATTAAAGCATTATGCATTCATTACAATGCCTTAACAATACAAGTATAATGTATTATAAATGTGGGCTTCATAGAAAGTGTTACCGTTCATTTTTTTGAAACTTATTTCAAAAAGTGAAACTTTCATATACAGTATTCTAGATTCATTGCATGTAAAGTAAATCATTTCAAAAGTTTTTTTCTTTTCTTTTTTTTTCATTTTGATGATTAGAGCTTACAGCGCATGGATATTTGAATATTTCCTAAGATCAATAATAATTCCAAGTGTTTGAATCGGCTTTGCTTGACAGTATTCTCAATCTTGCGGTCATCCCTGTTGCTTGTGCACAATTTCCTACCCAATTTCTTCCTTCCAGTCAACTTTGCATTTAATATGCTTTGATACAGCACTCTGTGATCAGCCACCCCTTTCAGTAATGACCTTCTGTGACTTACCCTCTTTGTGGAGGTTGTCAATGATCGTCTTCTGGACTATTACCATGTCAGCAGTCTTCCCCATTATTGTGGTTTCAAAGAACAAGAGATACCCGGAATTTATTCTGTAGGGATGGTCATTTACTGAAACTCAAATGTAAATATTCTAATATTTTGAGATACTGGATTTTTGCCTTTCATGAGCTGTAAGCTCTAATCATCAAAATTAACACAAAAAAAGTAGAGAGAAAGAGTATTTTATATATATATTACAGTATATACAGTATCTCTCTTTGTTCCCCTGTAGAACAATGATATCAGTGCAAACAGATATATGGCTCTTGACCCCAGGTCCAGATCTTCTGACCAGTACAACACACTCACAGTAAGTGAAACATCAAAAACTACACATGGAAAAGAGTGTGTGCATTTAAAGGTCAGGTGATAAATAATAATTATGTTTGTCACATAGACTGTCCATCCCACACCTGCTATTCATCAGTCGGGCTCTGCTGAATATCAGAATCAGTCAGTAAGTAGAAGATTCTCAGGTCTTCTCAATATAATCAATAAAGAAGAAACTGTCATCACTACTAGTCAATAGATACTAAACAGCCCATTAATTCACTTACTAACTAGACTAGAAGAGTAATTTCACCAAAAGTAAATAAAAAAATGTGTGAATGCGTTTCGCTTGTCTTATTTCTGTTGTAGCCACACAGCGAGACGCCGCAGTAAGATGAAGCACAAGTTCAATTTCACTCAACTTTTGTCTCATCGCTGGACACCCACATCACAACTCCTGATGAAAATGAATGACTTATCGTGTGAATGGCTCTGTTTTTTCAGTGATGTTTCTCATAGCTCATATTCAGAAGAGAGTATTGAAGGTTATTATAAATATAAACTCTGTTCTAATATTCAGCTTGTTTTCGGTCTTTTCTTTGAGTCTACATGTGTTTGACCTGCAGATACAGGTTCAGTTGATTCAAACATCCAGAAAGCTTTGTTTCAGATAGGGATGCACAATATTAGATTTTTGTTGATATCTGATATGCTGATATTTTGCAAATCATTCTGGATGGTAGCCGATGCCGATACTGATATATATTTCCCTTTTTTTGAAACACTAAGTCTCTCCTGTGTGGAAATGATAAACAAATTATTTTAAATTTTGGTTAGTTTTGAGCAATAACTTATTTGTTAGAATTAATAAACATAATTAAAGTTTTATAAAAGCTTTTTTCTTTTTTTTTTAATGAGAGTACATTGAAAGCCTTTGAAAATAACTATAATAACATAAATCTCTGACTGGCTTTTTTTTTTTTCCCAGACAGATGCAGTTGAAACCTTAACATTTTATTTGTGGATTTCACATTATTGATGGTCTAAAGCAGAAGAGCTGTAACAATTCTAAAAATATTTTAGGGCTCCTTGTATTAAAGTTTTCATAATTAATTTGAGAAAAAAACACATATTACATATTAATTAATACATCTGTATGTATGAAATTATTTAATTTACAAGTGTCATGTTTGTGTTTTAATTCATGTAAGCTCAGTGGCATACAGTGAGCCCCTTTCATCCGTGATTTCCTTTCTGGGGTGTATTCCAGAAAGCACGGATAACTCACCGTCAGCTAAACTGTGAACATTCGGTTGATTAACCCAAAACCTGCTTACTTGAGGTATGCTGGTTCCAAAAACGCGTCCGGGAGTAAGTTCATTCAACTCAGAGTATATTCCTGATTAACACGCAAGACATTCTCAACAGAGCGATGAATCGACGAGTCACTATGTAAACTGACGCTAAGAAAAAGCGTGCCATACTGCTTCTTTCTTCTTCTGTTGTTCAAAGGTAATTTACATGCTTAGTGCATATCGCCACCTAATTAGTGGTTGTGCAATCTTTTTTTTTCCGTTTAATCTTTAATACTTGAGAATAAGAATTATATTGTCTGTTTGATGCTAATTATATAATAAGTCATATCAGATATGTATTTTTATTACAAAAATACATTATAGCAAATGCAGATCCATGATGTGTGAGATGATAATAAAATATAATAAACATATAACTTTATTGTAATCATATATAATATTGTGCACAATCTGTCTCGCCCACTGGAGTCTTGTCAGTAGGTCAGGCATGCGCTGATAGCTCTGAAGTAAGCTAACCCTGAAACATAACCTGTGCCGTGCACTTGATCTCCAGCAGCAAATGTGTGACAGAATAACCGGCCAAAAAAGTGAGTGCTAAGAACCTCGCCAGCCCCACTCCAGACCCAGAGCCCAGCCAAACACAACCCTACTGTGTGGATCAACAGCCAGAGCCCGCCGTGACCACCGAGCCTTCACCTAATGAGCGACAGAGCTGAGAATTGCCCCGGAGCCAGAGTCTCATGCGATGCCTGACCAGATGTGTGAGCTGGCGACAAAGCCCGCCAAGGAGGATTACACAGTGGAGAGCAAGGGCGCGGAGGAAAGCCCCACACACTGTTCCACCGCTCTGCCGCTGCATCCTGCCAGTACCTCAGCTCATTTTCCCAGAAAGCCCCATCCGTCACGTCTATCCACCCAGCCACCCTCTCCCACCTCCTCTCATAATTGTCTGTCATCTTCAACCCCTCTGCCGCTGCATCCTGCCAGTCCCTCAGCTCATCCTCAGCCCACCATCGGTGATGTGGGTTCACCACGGGTCTGCCAGTCTCCATCGATGTTGTGGCTGGAGCATCCCTTGACTCAGCCTCCAGCCTCGGAGTCCTGGACTCCGCCTCGGCCCAACGACCCAGCGGCTCCACCATGGCTCCTAGCTCCCTCATCTCCACCGTGGCCATGTCGGTCCACCAGCTCCGCCAGGCTCCCTCATCCCTCCGGCTCCGCCTTGGTCTGTCGTTGACCTGCCTTCGCCTCAGGACTACACTCCTCCGGCTTATATGATATATATATATATATATATATATATATATATATATATATATATATATATTCTCCCTCCTTCCCTGTAGAACGATGATCCCAGTGCAGGCCCATATACAGACCTCAAGTCCAGATCTTCTGATATGTAATACAGTATGTGAAATATCAAAAACAACATGTGCAAAAGAGTTTGTGATTTCAAAAGTGACATAATCTATCAAATAATCAATGTGTCTTTCACATAGTCTGTCCATCCCAGACCTGCTGTTCATCACTCGGGCTCTTCTGAATATGAGAATCTGTCAGTAAGTGTGAGATCCACGGGTCTTATAATCAATAAAGATATAAACTATCCACAGTAGTCAATAGATATTAAACATTATTTTCCTTCTGTTACAATATGGATTATATGAGTTGTTTAATTGACAGATTTTTTTTTTTTAAATGTGAAAAAAATTAATTTTAACAAATGTAAATTGTGAAAAAAATATTTTTGCAGACCCATGTAAATGTGTTTCCCTTGTCTTTTTTTCTGTTGTAGATAAAAAGCAAGACATGACGGTAAACACAAGTTAAAGGTGGGGTAAGCGATTTCTGGTAGCCAATGTTGACATTTGAAATCACCAAAACAAACACGCCCCTACCCCCAAAAGGTCTCGCCCCTATTTTGATAGCTCCTCC